CTCTCTCTCTGCCTCTCTCTCTGCCTCTGCCTCTCTCTCTCTGCCTCTCTGCCTCTCTCTCTGCCTCTCTGCCTCTCTGCCTCTCTGCCTCTGCCTCTCTGCCTCTGCCTCTGCCTCTGCATCCCAAGTCCTGGGTTAAAGGCATTTGCCCCACTACCCAGCAGAATTCTTTCAGTCTTAAACAGGATATTTTAATTCTAAGTCCACAAGTTCTTTGAGGCAGTCTTTACATTTATGATTGCATGTGTTTAAACTAGAACATTTGTTTGTTTTTTTAAGATTTATCTTATGTGTATGTGTATTTTGCGTGTACGCATGTATCTGTGTACGATGTGCATGCCTGTTGGCACGTATCCCCTGAAACAAGGTATAGTTGTGAGTGGCCATGTGGACACTAGAAATTGAACCTGGGTCCTCTAGAGGAGCTACTGCCTGCTACTGCTCACAATCGCTGAGTCATTTCTCTAGCCACATACTAGGACATTTTATCCTACTCTTTCTAGTGTTTAACATTTTGAATATTTTTTGTGTTTATATTATTGTAATAATTTATGTAATAAGGAGTTATTTTTCTGGTTTGTCAAAGGAAAAATACAAAAGTTACTCTAATGTTTTTTCCCCAATGGTTGAATTAATGTCATGTGATTTGTACACATAGTCCCCATGGACAGTGCCTGTCATCAGTTCAGTGCCCTCCAGGAGCAGCACAAGCCCGTGCCAAGTGTGTTTATGTGCAGGGCATGATGCTGAGTGACGCTGTCCCCAAACCAGAGAACACTGCCTGTGTCACTCGACCATGCGAGGGGACTCAGTGTCCCAGCGTTCTCGTTTTTCTTCAAGTACACTTACCCAAGTCCTGAAAATTGCTGAGACATTGAGTTAGTCGACATCGAGTATGCATGAAACTTTTTGTATTTTTTTTTTTTTAAGTTCATGGAGACAGTCACCAAGTTAAAGTGTTGCTTTACTTTCCTTTCCCAGTGGTAAAGCTCCTCATTTACGTTCGCAAGCTCACTCCCTGCTTACATGTCTTTAAACCTTCAAACTCGGCACAGCATTGTGAGTTTTATACTCATCATTTTTATTGTGATAAAGTTCACATAACATAAATTCATCATTTTACACTTTCTGTTTCTCTTTAAAGTTCATACTTATTTCACCACCATTCCCTGTCACCCTCTCCCTCTAGCCTCTTGCAACCATTTCTGTTTTCTGTGGATTTGCATGCTCTGGGCATTTCATCTGATGGGCTCATTCAGTACACAGCTTAGGATGATAGCTTCACAAGTGGAACAGTTTATATTCTCTCTATCCATCTATGTTGTCTGTGAGAAAGAACGTCATTCCTTCACTGTGTAGCCCTGGCTGGGATAAGAGGTGTGTGTTGCCATGCCCAGCTCCTTTCCTACCTACTTTCTTCTGTGAGCCAGGTGTGAATCATATCCCCTGGTATTGACCTAGTACAGTATACAGCCACTCACCAGTTTACACACACCGTTGGATTGTTTCCACCTTTGCCTATAGCAATTAGTACCATTAAGAACATTTCTGCATCATTTTTTATTTTGATTGATTGATTGATTGATTTTTGTTTCTTTTTTTGAGACAGGGTGTCTCTGTGTAGCCCTGACTGTCCTGGAACTCAGAATGTAGATCAGGCTGGCACAAAGGCCCTCCCCCCTGAGTGCTGGCACTAAGGTGTCCATGCCTGAACTTCTGTGCCACTGTTTGCTTGAACACTCGCAGTTCCGTTGGGCATAGGTATAGGAGGGAGAGGAATTACTGTCTGTATTAAAACTTCTTGAGAAACTGCCACATGTTTTCCATAGAGCAACTGCTCCATGCCACAGCAGTGGTTTTGTAAGGACTCCGTTTTCATATCCTATTCAGCAAGATTGTTTTTTATAGTCACCCAAGAAGGGAGGAAGTAGCTTCATTGTAGTGTTCATTTACATTTCTCCAGTGGTAATGATACCAGCCATCTTTTAATCATCTTTGTGGCCTTTTGTATCTCTCTCTCCTTTGTAGTATTTATTAATGTCCTGCGGTTCTGGGGTGTGTTTTCTTTTGTTGTTGTTTTAGGGCTTGTTATATATTCTGGATGCACATTCCTTATCAGGTATGTGGTTTGCAAATATTTTCTCCCATTTTGTAATTTGCCTTTTCACATTTTTGATGTAATCTTTTAATATAAACAGGTTTTTATCTTAATAAAATTCAATTTATGTATTTTTCTTTCATTGCATATGCTTTTAGTTTCTGCCAAAGAAACTATTTCTTTTAATTTTATCTGTATATACTGTTCCTTTAGCATTAAAAAGAATCCAGGCTGGGCGTTGGTGGTGCACGCCTTTAATCCCAGCACTCGGGAGGCAGAGGCAGGAGGATCTCTGTGAGTTCCAGGCCAGCCTAGTCTACAAGAGCTAGTTCCAGGACAGCCTCCAAAGCCACAGAGAAACCCTGTCTCGAAACACCAAACAAACAAACAAACAAACAAAAAAGAATCAAGTAACTATTCTTTTTCTTACATGTGATTTACATATTAATTTTATGGTATGGTTTGAATGTTATCTTTAGGTCCATAATTTAGAAGACCGTTTGAAAAGATATGAAAAGACTGTGTGTTCGCCACCTGTGGGGACGCCTCTCAAAGGTGAGCTGACTTCTGCCATGCCACCTGTGTGCATCTTTCACTGGTAGATTATGAATGAGTTTACTTTTTTTTTTGTTAATTCATATTCTTTTATTTTTATCTTGAATCATTTTTAGTTGACAAGTATAAATTATGTGTACTCATTGCAACATGAAGCTTATAAAAATAGATATTCATGGTGGAATGTGCAAGTTGAGCTCATCGGTACATACTCCCTCATATACTTAACCTCGTGTTGTGCTGTGTCTTAGTTGCTGTTCTGCTGTGCAGAGTCACTGTGACCAAGGGAGCTTATGAAGTAAAGTGTTTAACTGGGGACTTGCTCCAGTTTTAGAGTTTTAGGGTCCATGACCATCCTGTCTGGGATCATGGCAGCAGGCAGACAGGCAGGCTTGGGGCTGGAGCAGTAGCTGAGAGACAGACACCGGACTTGGTGTGGTTTTTGAAAGTTCAAAGCTCATTCCCCCAGTGACACACCACCTCCAAAAAAGGCCACACCTCCTACTTTTTCCCAAAATAGTTCTACCAACTAGGAAACAAACATTCAAGTATCTGAGTGTGTGGGTTACGTTTCCATTCAGTCCAGTACACAGTGAGAATGCTGCTTGTTTCCAGTAATACAGTGTGTCATTACCCCAGCATAACAGTGTTTCTACTGTGAAACTGAAGTTCTGTCTCCTTTGAACAATGAACACCTCCACTCCCCATCTCCCAGCTGATGGAGACTTATCTTATCCTGTTCTTTGGATCTAGCTTGTGTAGATTTTATATGAAAGCAAGATCCTACAATACTTGTCATTCTGTGTCTGGCTTGCTTTGTTTCATGAAGTGTCTTATAGCCTCATATCTTAGCCCCTTATCTAGTGTCAAACATTGTTCTGTACACATTGCATACATCAGCACATGCAAACGATGAGAAGAACCCGAGAAGTCTGATGGACAGTGCACACTGACCTTCTCCATGCTGCCGCTTTTAAGGTTTGAATGCTCCCCCTCCTCTAGGGAGAAATAAAGCATTTCCTGTTCCATGGAAGCCCCTGTGTGTACTTCTCCAGTAATACAATCAGCACCTTCATGATGCTGAGCCCTTCTGCCCTCATATTTAACATCCCTGTCTAAAGTTTCCAGCAGCATTTTGTTCGGGTTTTCTCTGTTGGGGAATTTACATGATTTGTTTCTTTCTTTCATTTAGTGTAAATCTGAGAGTTGCCTACATTGTCTATTTTATTCCATTAGTTTGGTACATACTCGCACACGTTTCCTATAGTCTAATGTGAAAGATTTTCTATAGAATATAGAGATAAGTATATTGGGCACCACTGTGGCCTCTCTACTGATGATGTGTATCATGGTCGTTCTGTTCTTGGCTGATCTGCATTTGATATAACATTGTCATGGTATTTTGTTCCTGTTCTTAGTAGTGGGTTGGGCATGGTTAGATCATATTATTTGTTCCTTCTTAGTTCTAGCTGTGTGTATTTCTTCCTTTATGGAGTGCCTTATAGTCCCATGTCTTCTAAAGCTAGGTTGTCATTTTGTTTTTCATGAGATGTTAAATGTCCTGCTTATTTGTCTTATTTTATTTTTATGAGCATATATTATATAAATTAATGAGCTCAGGACATTTCCATGTATGGATGTAACATACATTTATCATGCCTTTATGCATAGATATACATTTATCCACTGCCTTTATTATTCTTTCTTATTCCACTTTCTGTTTTCTTCCTTCACATACTTAATAGTCTACTTGAGCCCTGTAGTTGGGATTTCAGGCTTTTGCCACTGCACACAGTTCACATAAAAATATTTGAAAATCGCGATGACACCGAAACTTTGCACACTTTCAGATTTTTATTTATCTTATGTTTCAAAACATTTTTAAAATTTGATTTGAACTGAGTACTTTAATATTGGAATGCTTAAAAGGAAACTAGAAATGTCTGAGATACTAAATCGCTGTTAAGATGTGGGTGGTAATGTTAGTCACTGGAGTATCTGAAGTCATCCGCATGCTATTTAGCAGAGATCCATTGTTCAGGAGCTTTTACACTGGCCATGTGGTCTTGTAAGAGAAGGATACAGGAAATAAAATTGTTATAGAACAGTTGTTATTTTTGCATCTACCAAGCAGCTGGGATGTCGACAGTGTGAATATGTGAATAACAGTAGGAAACAATGCCTCTTCCTGCTCCCTTCCTGTGTCCCAGTGCATGTGTTTTCTGAGTGACAAGCTAGCTGGGTTTGCTTTTGTAATTTTGATTTTGCCCTTCTTGACAGGTGGCAATTTGTACCACACTGATGTCTCACTCTTCGGAGAACCTACTGAGTTTGAATATTTGCGACATAAAAGTAGGAGAAACTGCTAGTATTCAGGCATCTGTACTGGCCTGCCCTTGGTGTTCTGACAGAATATGTCCTTGGCTATAGCCACTAAGAGCATCTCCTGTGCACGCTCAATCTATGTTTGTTCCCTTTTCCCTCGTGAGCTTTGGTCCTCCACTCTGCTGTTGACACTGACATCCAGTCTGCCTTCCCGTTTGCTCTGTGGGCTTTATTGAAGAGCATCCTTGAGAAACAGTGGTTGAAGAGCTTGCTTATAAATCAGCTGACTCATTTGAACTTCTCACTTCTTGGGGCCTGAGGATGTGGTTTGGAAAGCAGACAGTCTGATTTCTTTCCAAGGTCCAACAAGAGCCCAGTTTCTCCGTAAAAGCTTCTCTGGCAGGCTGGAGGCTTCATTGGTTGTCAGTTATAGATTCTGGGTCACTGATGAATTTAGGGGTAGATTTTCCAATTAGTGTTATCTAGAAGTATGAGGAGACGAGTCACAGATAATGGTTGTATCTTTATAGACATGTCTGCACCTGCATGTGTGTGATTTCAGAGTGAATTACACTTTGATAGCTTGTGTGATACTAAAATCAAGGAAACGTTCCATATAACTGAATTGTAGAATTTTAGAGTTTTGATACATGACCGGCGGGGGGGGGGGGGGGTTTTTTAAATGGGGGCCAGGAAAAGGCTCCCCTCTGTTAACAAAAAGAGAAAGAAAACACTGAAATAGTTACTACTTTGTGTTTGTTTTTGGCCAGTTCATGATGCATATACTTGACCCCTATACTCAGAAGCTTAGCATACTAGTTTGTGTTCAGTCTAGTTAATATGACTTAAGTGAGAGATGTTGCCAGATGCCTTTGGAATCCTCCAAGAATGTGGTTGGTTTTTTTGTTTGTTTTTGATTTGGGATTTTTGTTTGTTGTTTGAGACAGGGTTTCTCTGTGTAGCTTTGGAACCTGTCCTGGCACTCTGTAGACCAGGCTGGCCTCTAACTCACTCTGCCTTCCAAGTGCTGGGATTAAAGGCATGTGCCACCACCGCCCAGTGAACATGATTATTTTAAATGGCATTTCAGATTTCTTTAAGTTATTAAAATAGCAGAGGCAAAGACAAAAAAGACATCTGAAACTAAAGTCATTGTGCGTGGGCGTTACAGTCAAAAGCAGCCTCAGTTGATGTGTTAAGTGAAGTAAGCTGTTAAGAATTCATAACGTCTTCTCTCAGCTGTACAGATGATAGTTTTACAATGTTGGTGTCTTTCCTGTCTGTAAATAATTGATTTTTTTCTAGTGATTATTTATGAATAAAGCTCCAGAACCTCGGGGTGATAACACCATGCTGATCATTTTCCCTACACTTTCCCCAGAGCCCCACCGCTGCCACCACACACTCAGGGTTACATGCAGAGCACACACAGAGCACCCGCAGCCATGAGCACTTCTTCCCTTTCCTGGGATGCTCTACCATGCACTGTAGGAATCCCTAGGAGAGCACACCACCCGACTTGATGTAAGCACTGAACTCCTTGTCCTTCTTCCTTCATAAGTGACATCTTCTTCCCTCTCTGTCTTCCTCACAACAGCTCATCTTGATACACAGTAGGGAGTTTCACCCTTTGAGGAGTTTCCAGGAGCTTATGGGGTGACAGTCTGACTTATGGTATATTTATTCTGAACTGCACAGTTTATGATCTTGTTTTGCAAACCTCCTTGTGTAATGTTTTGATTCATCGTGTGTTCTACCAAACAAAACATTGTGTTCTTTTAATATGTAATTCCTGTGAGGCCACTGTGCTGCATGTCCTGAAAAGTAACTACTAAGCAAGTTCATGTCCACGCAGTAGCCCATGTTTGTGACATACATGATGTGATTCAGTTAGAGCTGAACCTTGGGGGCTTCGAATCCTTGCTATTCAGAGCATATGTTTTGGCAATGTATTGCTGTAGGTTACTGCAAATATGAGGCCTTTTCAGGTGAGTTCATAATGTAATTTCATCTTATTAAGACAAAAGACCAAGAGTTAGGTCTTTCTACAGCTTCATGCTACTAGAAATGCATCATCTAAAGTAATTCAAACGCAGACCTTGTAAGGAACCCTCTTGAATTGAAATGCTAGTCCTTCCTGTACTGACCACCTTCACATCATGAGAGCACTAAAGAATCCCTCGGCAGAACATGTCAGACAGTATGAGACATCATTGCCTTCTGTCTAAGGATCTCTTTCCTGTCGCTTCTAGACCATGGCAAAAGTTATAACCACTGTCTTGAAATTCCCTGATGATCAGGCTCAGAAAATTTTGGAAAGAGAAGATGCCCGGCTGATGGTAAGTTCCGGAAGGAAGGTGTGGGGGATTTTATATTCTGCCTCATGTGCAGAGCCCTTTTCCCGTATAAAAGAAATTGAATTTGTTTTGAATGTCTTTTGTGCTACAACTTAAAAAGTGGTGGTTGATGGACATTAAGAAAGTTTAAGCCAGATGTGATGGGCACTGTGAAGGGAGAGAGTGGTCTTTCTCAGTAGCATCGTGTAGAGTTCCCAGAACTTGAGCTGCTGATGGGAAGGATGAAGAAGACTTGGTCCTTTTGCTCCACAGAGCACAGCTTCGAAGCAGCACGGTGTTCTTTCTTGTATTTAAAGTATTTCCATGTGCATTGAGTGTAAGAATTTAGTCATTTTTTAGGCCAGTAAGATGGTTCAGCAGATAAAGGCAGAGAGTGAGCAATACCAAAGCCAAAAAAAAAAAAAAAAAAAAAAAAACCCTCTCAAGGCAGACCAAAGAATGTTTATCCTTGAGTAAAGCCGTATTCATTCTAGAAAGGGATAAACCTGGGGCTGGTTCTTGAGTTAATCTTCCTTTGCCCCTGAGGCTGACCTGCCCAGGCTTTAAACAAAGCCTCATGTCTTTCGACACTTTGCTTGCTGAATAAATTCACTCTGCAGCCACCTACTACTGCAGTTGTTACAGAGAATATAGGAAACTGGAAGCTTTGAAGGACATAGAATTGGGGGTAAGTGATGACTTCCATCCAATCCCATGTGAGTGAAAGCAGGGCCTCCCTGTACATCACCCATGGGTAGGAAACATGAAGTAATGTATGGGCAGGAAGTGGATCCTAAAGTATAAGCTGAAAATTAATCAAATTGATTGGCTTTTTTTGTTTGTTTGTTTGTCAGTCTAAAAAGATTGTTGGTATTTGTGGACTGACTCAGGATCATTTCCTCTATCTTTGAGAGAATTCCACTAATGAAGTATATTGTCGTTGACTGAAATTGGGACTAAGAGATTCTTTCGTTATAAAGAAGCTTCTTTTTACATTTTCCTAAGAGAATTTTTTCTCACTGAAGTGCCCCAGACCCCGAAGACATAACTGTGTTCCCCCAGTGACTGCCCTGGAGAATGTTTCCTCTCCTTGGTCTCTGAGGGCTTGCTTTCTTCCTCACTCACTCGCTTGTGCTCGGCTCTCACACATCCTCCATGTTGCCTGCTCGCTCTGAGCTTTGTGGTTTTAGAGGCTCACACCTCAAGAGCCTCACGCATGCTGGAGCCCTGTACCAGGAAGCCACATCCTGGGCCTTATGTTTAGTTAGTTCTGGATTAGTCCTCCTTGTGTTGTTGGTCTCACTCACTTCCATTTGAGTCAGAATTTTTTAAACCTCCCAAGCTAATAAATTATCTTTAATAGCATTTTAGGTGAAGTCTTCCATGCATGCCAGGTGGAGTTGGAAAACAAATTCAAATAAAAGTGACACATAATGAAAAATTATGAATATGTAAATGTGTATTTAACTGAGAAAGTAGTTTTGACTGACATTGTTAGAATAAGACTCTATCAGTTGCAAACTGCTGGGCGTTGGTGCCACACGCCTTTAATCCCAGCACTCGGGAGGCAGAGGCAGGTGGATCTCTTTGAGTTCGAGGCCAGCCTGGTCTCCAGAGCAAGTGCCAGGATAGGCTCCAAAGCTACACAGAGAAACCCTGTTTCGAAAAACCAAATAAACAAACAAACAAACAAATAAATAAATAAATAAATAAATACGTTGCAGATAATTCAGAAAAAGTACTTAGAAAATCTTTCATAATCTTCAACATCTAGACTGTTTGCCCCATGCCAAGATCATCTCTGCTAATAGTGTGACCAGCCAGGATCATGCCGAGAATGAATCCCAGCACTTAGGAGGTGGAAGCAGAGGCCCCTCAAGTGCAGGGCGTGGAGGGCCACAAAACAGGAGACTCAAACATTGAATCGCTGTACTACATTTTCTTTGTTCGAATCACTAACTGATTTTCACTTCTTAAAAGCATAGACAGGAGATATCCACACACCTAGATTTTACGTGCTTCTGCAAATTTTCCTGCAGAATACTAACCTTACTATGTCGTGTGTATTGAAAAACATTTTTCTAGTTTATGTCTTAATTTTGCTACCTTTTTTCTAACTCTGTATTAAATATATACATATTTCAGAAGTTTGTCACACTAACCAAAAATAGACTCAGGTTTGGTAAACAGCCTTTGTTGTCATATTACATTTCAAAGCAAACCATAAAGCTAGTTAATGATGATGGGTGGTGTCACCTGAAATGAGGGCATGGAATTTATTTAAAGGGTTTGCTGTAGTAAAAATAAACTGAGATGAAGTTCCTTTACATTGAAATTGCAACAAGGTTTATCATTCCTGCAAACCTTCTTGAGGTTCTGTTGAATTATAAGGGAATTATTCAGTGATAAAATGGATACTTTTTAGGAGTGAGAATTCAGTATACAGGTATACTATGTTTCAAATTCATCAACTTCCAAAAGTTTGTGGGGGTAAACTGAAACTATGTAAATCAAATTTTAATTTATGCTGTAAAGGAATTATGGAAAAAATTACTTTATAATATAACCCCCTCTAATTTACCTGGCAGTTAGGATGCGTTCTTAGCATGAAGTGCATCTTTCAGCATTTAAACTTTTAAATGGAAATTGAAAGTAAAACTTAGGCTGGGGGAAGCATTACATAGTCCTTATGCTTTGCCTGATAACCCTCATATACTGTCTGTAATTCTGTCCACTTCATATACACAATATAGCCTGTGCACTATTTGTCTGACAACTAACCCAATGAGCTTTTCCTCTTGGCTTTGTAGTTCCCTTCACCTCGCAGTGGCATCTTCTGATACCCTGAGTCTGTGCTTAGTAAGCGTGTGGTGAGTGGAGAGCCATGTGTCTTGTATCTTGGTACTGAAATCATGGGTATTGCATGCAACTAACCATTTCACTGGGATTATTTTGTTCTTTTTAATGAACATGATTATGATAACAGGTTAATGTAATTGCTTTCTGTTGATTCTGTTAAATAGACTATATATAGATATATAGGTGGCTACCAAGAATGGCATTTGAAATTACTACAGATTATTATAGAGAAATGAAAAGAAATTTCTAAATGTGAAGTGATGAAGTACAATGTATACTGTGTTTCAAAATCAGGTGAAGAGATATATTTTACAATCCAGAACCTAAGGTACTTCAAAGCCTAATTGGAATGATAGCTTTAAAAAAATGAAAACTAATAAAGTTGATTAAAATAAGCACAGTTTTATTGCATCCTAGGATCACACAGCTTGATGCAAGATAGCACATGTATTCTGTAGATGCTCCTAGGCAGCCTCGCTTAATTGACTATGGCTGTTTCTGATAACATTTTATTACGGTGAAATGTAATTTTCTGAAATGTTCCCCATGACTTACTGTCTTCAACATTTAAGGATTCCCAGCCTCACATGGTATGCATGTCATTAGCCTGATTTAATATTGCCTTAAACATTTAGGGGACACATATACCTTGAGCTTGGCTGTAATTTTCACAAATACGTTAAATCACCATGACTAAGACCTGGTTATACTTGATGATGATGATGGTTTGTGTCAGCCACGAACAAATGTAGCAGGATGAAAGGTGTAGAGTCTGAGGCATATCTTTTAAAGAAGGTTTTTAAAATGTTTATTTATTTTTTTTATTTTATGTGTCTGTGTGTTTGTCTACATGCATGTGCACCACAGAGGCCAGAAGAGGGCATTAGATCCCTTGGAACTGGAGTTATAAGGTGGTTGTGAGCCACTATGTAGGTGTTGGGACCCGAACCTGGGTCCTCTCCAGGAGCAGCCATGCTGTGCTCTTAAGCTGTGGAGAATGTCTGCAGCCCCTCTGCTTTTTAAGGTTTTTGTTTTTGTTTTTAAACTGCCAGCATTGAGTCTCCTTTTGATTTTCATATTGTGTCATTTAATTTGCTTGCATGGTTATCTAGAGCTGTCTCATTCCTGTCTCCATTACAGTGGCTGGCAGTGCAGAACATGGTTTTATTAGATTGCTGTGATAAGCCTGGGGGACAGCTTGTGGCATCACCTGCAGAGGCTGACAGAAGTATGACAGGGGACAGACAGTATCTTCTGCCAGCCAGAAGCACTTGTCCCTTCTGTTCAGAATGGCAGGCCCTGGCCTTCCCACAGACTCCCCATCCCCTCTTCCAGAAATCCTTTCACAGCACTTACTATAAGTGATGGTACAGAGACAGGGTTTGTTGCTGCTGGGAGTGGGATGGGCATAAAGGGAGCCAGTCCGTTATCCTGCTTGTCTCCTGGCAGTAGGGCGGTCAGGCATTGGCCATTAATGACCTCTGTTTAGTTTGTTGGTTGGTTTGTGTTTTTCTTTTACACAGGGTTTCTCTGTGTAGCCTTGGCTGGGATCTACCTGCCTCAGCCTCCCTAAAAATGAGATTACAGGCATATGCCATAAGGCCTGGCTAGAAATGACCTTTATTTTGCTGAGTGGCCTCTTTTCTGATGTCAGAGATTGGGTTTAAATAGAGTGGATCTAGCCATGTAATCTTTGGGAGACAGTTTTCAAAGGGAGACTTGTAAGACCTTTCAAGTGGAAGTCTCTGAGCATAAACTGTGACTCCTATTGAGGGTAAAGACAGCTATAGAATTAACTGTTCACCGATGAGAGCAACATAAGGAGACAAGATTACAGATAACTTCATGACATTTGAAAGTAACTTTTCACTTCAGATAATAAAATCAATGCTGGTGTCTTTTAGTAAAACATAATAATAAGCTTATGAGACTTGCATGGCTGTGAGTGTGCTGTCTACCTAGTAAGTCAAGTAGAATTGTGTCACTCACACGGCGCTGCAGATAGCCCCTCTCACACTGGAAGGGTGTGTCTCAGCACTTCTGTTCAGTGATTGCTTGTCCATTAAACTTTTGAGTTGAAACATTTCAGACCCAAGCTTTGCTAAAATAATTGAGTGAATGCCCACGTTGCCATGTCTTCCCAGTTTCTAACATTTTGTGAAATCTCTTCCCTGTTCTCATTCCTGGTTTCTCTCCACATAGTTCTCCCCTCTGTGTCGCTGGCAGTAACCTGTAAACATCATGCTTGCAAGCATTTGACGCTGCAGACACAGTGAATAAATGTATTTTTAAGAAGAGGATTAACCTACACACTATGATTATCACACTAGGATAATACTAATACTATCTGATAGTATACATAACATTCAGTTTTCCCATTTTTAAATTAATGTTTATTTAAATTAAAAACCATCTTATTTTACACACCAATCCCAGTTCCCTCTCCCTCCTGCCCTCCCATCCCCTACCAGCCCCCACCCCACGCTCCATCCACTCTTGGGGGGGGGTGAGGCCTCCTATGGGGGACAGTTTTCCCATTTTTGAATGAAATCTTTCATAAATATTTAAGAGCAAAGGCTCCACAAAGAACACCCATTGCATCGAGTAGTCGTGTGTTCTGAGGTCTCTTTTAAACTGAGGTCTTGGTCATTTTGCTTTCGTGACATTGATGTTGTGCCACTTTGTTGAATTGAATTTTGTTTTCTAGAGGTGTTTGAGCCAAGGTTTCAAAGCAGTAACTGAAAAGGAGTGGCCATACCAGGATCTGCACATCTCCCCATTAGGTTCTTGGGCAGGGTGATTGTTGAGCTAGCTTTATAAAGGAACACTCAAGACACCTTGGCCTCCCTCCACTGAACAGCAGTGGACACCTTGGCTCCATACTTAACATTGTAAACAGCATATTAAATTAACCTGGGAAACTCTTAGGAAGATTCCGGGTTTGTGTCTCAGCATTTTTTAAGTTTTAATGAATTTTGGGTGAAGCTTAGCCTTTTACACCACAATGCCATTTATCTCCCCCCCCCCCCCCCCCCCCCCCCCCCCCCTCTCCCCCCCGCGCTGCAGGAAGTCTACACACTGGAAAGTGGAAGCAGCTCCTTCCCTGAAGCACACACAGTGTGAAGAGCTGTGTCTGTGGGCTTCCCCAGGGTCTCAGATTCAAAATCCCCACCTAAATACTGCTCTCTGGGATTTCTCTATCAGTCTAAATTACTCTTTTTTTAGAAGATTCCATTAGGAATCGATATTTCAAATGCTTTTACATTTTTACTGTTATCCTTAGAGTGTTAATTTATTTTACCTTGAAAAACCAAACAATTCTCACAATAGGTTGACTATAAAAGCTTGTTTGTTTGTTTTTCTTATTTCACCCTAATTTCCTTTTTTTTTTTTTTTTCCAGTCATGGCTCCGAACGTCATCTTGAAGAAATGGGGAGAATGAGTCTGGGCAACTGCTGCTTGGCAAACTGTCCGTGCTTGCTGTTTTTGGAGAAAGGCCATTTTGTCATGAAAACGGGTCTTACCCCGGCCCACAGATGCACTGCTTTTGAAGCAGGTGTTGTTGGTGGAGAAATGGTGATGGTTTTGTTCTTTTTCCTTGTGTTTTTTTCTTGGGAAGTTTTCTGTGGTTTAGAGGCTGTTCTGACTGGCCTGGCCTGGTCACTCGGCGTCCCTTTCTTTTGTTCTTTCCCTCTTTCTAAAGAACTGCCTGTCTTCCTTATTTATTTTAGATGATTTTTTTTTCTTCTTAAAGACTTGTGCAATATATTTTGAGGTGAAACTTAGTGAAATTTTTTCTGATAAATTAGAGGATTTAATGGACTATTTCCCAGATTAATTTTTTTGAATATTTGCTAAAGCCTAATTCTTTAAGCTATGATGAATCCCAGATGGCAGCACCTCATATTTACCTAGCTTTTATACTGATGTTATTTTTCAGAGGAAAAAATACTACTGTAAATTGTAAATAGTCAATACATAGCCCTATTGTATGCAGACCTGTGACTGTTGGCCATGTCATCTCAGAGGATCAGATAAATAAAATTTATTTCCTATATAATATCTCTCATTGTGCTTTGTCTTAGGTTGAGATCACTTCAAGCTGGTTAAGCATCCATTTTTCAGTGAAGTGAATGTAGAGAGGCTGTGGGGTGAGCTAACCAGGGGACACTAGGAAAGGTGTGTGTGTGTGTGTGTGTGTGTGTGTGTGTGTGTGTGTGTGTGTGTGGTGTGCGTGTGTGTGTGCGCGCGTGCGTTTGTGTGTGCATGTGCGTGTGCGTGTGCGTGTGTGTGTGTGTGTGTTCAGCATTAGTATGAGCAATGAGAAAGCTGTGGGCCCCCCCTGGTGTGTTACAGGAGGGCTCTGCAGGTACTGGAGGTCACTGAAGCATTACACAAGAGAGAAGCTTCTGGACACCACGCTGTGGCAACTCCTAACAAGGGGTCACATACCCTTCATGTTCTGGGGAACAAGGTACTCGGACTCACAGATCTATAGAGTGTCTGCCTCAGATTGAACTTCAGTTGTCCAGCCAGTTGGCTCACCGTGTTGGGGGTGCTTGTGTTAGACACCCGGAAAACTCAGGTATCCAGGGTCCCAGGCCACGACCTCGGTCACCCCAATCACCAGGCGGATTCGAGAGCTTGCTGCAAGCTGCATGAGGCTTTATTGTAATTTATCGAGCTAACCCACGTTAGCTCGGGTCTTTCACCCACCCGCCATGGCGGATGGCTCGCAAAAGACGGCTCCTAGGGCCTCCCGAGAGATCTTATAGGGCAGCATAAGGGGAGTGTCTAGGCTCACGATTGGTGTACCTCCAGGCTTGGAGGGCTTGCCCTGTGTTGATTGGTCAACTGGTTGTTATGGACCATAGGCCCTCCCAGGGTGGTTGCTATGCTTTGTGTGTCATTGCTATGCGCTTGTCCATAAGCATAACGACACCAGCTAACTTCTGATTGGTTCCTTGTCACGAGGTAGGCATCTGACTTTCTAGTGTCTAGGACAAGGTCAGACAAGCACGTGTTCAGCCGCTATGACTGCCAAAAGGGGAGCTGGTCCCTTCACTTGCACTATGATGAGTGCTGTGGAGGGCATGGGGCCACCTACCCCCTACAACTGACTTGCTCATTATTCTTTAGAGAGAAGACAGGCTTCACACCCCTGCTCCCCCTGCCCTCCACTTACTTAAATTGACACAATTGTGTCCCACTGAAGGGTTCTGATAGTAATGTGACTTATCTTTTTTGTGCTCTTTCCAGGGTATAAGCGATGGTCTCTTCTGTGCAGTCGGCACAGCTTCTTGTAATTTCTCCATAGTCCATTCATGGAGATACCCAAATATAAAAGAGCAGGGGTTGGTGTTAATCCTGAAATTCACCAGAAAACCAGTTCCATCATTTTGGCAGAATTTAAGCAAGCTTTTATTAAAATATTAGATACTGACCAAGATGGAATTTGGTCAGGACCACCACTGGAAACTTTCACCACTGGCCTCGAGACACGTGTTGGCAGGGCTTACATGGACAAAACCCATAGGCCACTGTAATTTCCCAAGAACTCCAACTCCCAGAATTCCAGGAAGTTACCTGGGTTTGGGCAGGTGGGGCTTACAGGTTAACTTCAGGTCTGATATCAGTTGGCAAGAATTTCCTATAAATAGAGCCAGCTAGTGAGCATATTTGGTCCCAGAGCCTGGGTGCTTTTATGTCTGTTGCAACTTCATAATCCCTTCGTTGTAGTCAGAGCAGCCATAGGTGATTCTTAAATGAGTGAACATGGCATGTTTCACCTCCCTGTTCTCTTCCCCTTTCCCTCTGTTAGACCCCCGAAAACTCAAGTATCGGGGTCTCAGGCCAGGTTCGCGGTCACCCCAATCACCAGGCGGATTCGAGAGCTTGCTGCAAACTGCATGAGGCTTTATTGTAATTTAACGAGCTAACCCCATGTTAGCTCGGGTTTTTTCCCCACCCGCCATGGCTGACGGCTAGAAAAAGACGGCTCCTTGGGTCTCCCAAAAGATCTTATAGGGCAGCGTAAGGGGAGTGTCTAGGGGTACGCACAGGCTCACGATTGGTGTGCTTCCAGGCTTGGAGGGCTTGCCCTGTGTTGATTGGTCAACTGGTTGTTACGGCTCATAGGTCCTCCCAGGGTGGTTGCTATGCTCTCTACGTCATTGCTGTGCGCTTGTCCGTAAAGCACACCCAGAGCCATAAAGCATAGCGCCACCAGCTAACTTCTGATTGGTTCCTTGTCACGAGACAGGCATCTGACTTTCTGGTTTCTAGGACAAGGTCATAGAAGCACATGTTCGACCATTATGGCTGCCAAAAGGGAAGCCGGTTCCTTCACCTCCTCACATCACATACTCTTTATTTTTAAAATTACAAATTTAACACCCACTGAGTCCATTTAGTGCTGCCTGCATGTTCAGGGCCATGGAACAAACCGCCTCCCTTCCCCAGCCCCTCCCCCATCCATGCTTGGGAAGTGCTTATTTATGTTGTTCTATTACCAATAAAAGTTAGGAGTCAGATATTGGGGTAAAAAGCCTGATAGAGCAAGAAATCGGTGGAGGAAGGACCAGCTGACTGTCTCTCTCCACACTTACAGGTGGAAAGGCCCAGTAGATCTTCTAAGTCCCTCCCTACTCTTTTCTGTGCCTCTTTATCATATTGTATTCTGGACCCTCCAGAATCTCTATGGCTAATTCAGATCAGCTAGTTGTTAGCTCTGCCCCCCTGATTCAAGGTTAACTTTATTAACAGTCTCTGTTAATAACTAAAGGCAAATAACCCTCAACAGGCTTGATCTTGTGCAAGCCTTGTGCTTGTAGCCCCAGGCTTTGTGAATTCATGAGTGCTACTGTGCTGTCACGTCTGCAAATACTGTTTAAAATGTGATGTTCAAAGCTGGTGTCAGGAGGTGGAGAGATGGCTCAGCAGGTAAGAGTGTTTTCTGCTTTTGCCCAGAGGACGTGGGTTCAGTGCCCAGCACCCACTTAGTGGCTTGCAACCATCCGCAGCTAGTTCCAGGGGATCTGACACCCTCTTCTGACCTCCTTGGGTCCCAGGTATATATATGGTACGCATACAAATATGCAGACAAAACATTCATACACAAAAACAAATCTTAAAAAAAAGAATCTTTTAAGCAGGTTTTGGTTCTAGGGTATGGTTTCCCAGCTCCTGGGGAAGCAGTCAGCTGGGCTTTAAGCATGGAGTCAAGAGAGGAATGGCAATTCATATGCAGACGTTGTTTGCATTCCTCAATGACTCACAGTAGCATTGTCTCAGCTATTTATCCCGCCTGCCCGGTGAGAAGCAGTCTTTGGTTGTGCTCAATACTAGCACCTTGGACCCAGGTAAGAACTTTAGAAGTTGGGGCATGCATGGCGCTCACTTCTCTGAGTGTTATAGGACGCAGGTGACATCGCAGGTGGTGTGGACGGGCCCTTTGTCCTCCATTCTCTGTACTTAATAAACAAAAGTTCATAATGGCTGTGGATCAGCTCCAGACCCCAGAGAAAACCCGTCATCTATCTCAGGGTTCAATCCAGACCCAGCTCAGGCCCAGATGCTTGAGTGAGCATTCTGTGTCGGTGCCTTTTTAGACATCACATTCTAGTAGCTTTGCCAAGATTTGAAGGGCTGAAGGTGACGTAAGTACAGCTAAAGCATACACCGTGGCGGTGGCGGTGGCGGTGGCGGCGGCGGCGGCGGTAGCTGCGGCGGTGGCGGTGAGGAATGGCATCCCCTCTAGCCTTGAGCCACATTGCTTCTACTCGAACCTGTCCACCTTAATTCGGAACATCTTTAGTTGGGTTTTCTTTAGAAAAGCTCAGTCTTGAACACTTGATGATGATACTTGCCAAGCAATATAGGCATTTAAAGTTTTAAAATTATTTTTTCGGTAAGCATGCAGAGTTTCACTGTACATGAAACTCTTTAACACTTTTTAACAAAATAAGCAGCCTGATGTGCAGATGGCCTTATCATTTTCCAGGTAGTTGATGGGGCTGGAGAGACGACTCAGTGGCTGCGAGCACTGGCTGCTTTTGGAGAGGAGTGGAGTTTGGTTCCCAGCACCCATATCGGGCAGCTCACAGCCACCTGTATCTCCAGCTCCGGGGATCCAGCACCCATTCCGGTCTCTGTTGGCACCACACACAAGTGCATATGTGCACATACAGACGCATGAGTAAAAATTCTTGCAAGAAGGTTTGAAGTTGTTCACCTTGCTACAGCAGGAAGGCATCTGTCTGCCCTTCTGCCAGATGGGGCAGCTTCTAAAGAAGGAATGTGTAGTGTGTTTCCTCTCTGTCCCCATTCTTCCACCTCTCCATCAGGAGTGGGCAAGACACATCTGACAGAGATGATGAGATCCTGACTATGACATCCGATGCAGCCCTGAGACAAGGCTTTCAGGCTTTCAGGAGGTTCAGGTGAGTGTCCATCACTTTGGGGATGGCCAAGAAGGAAATGTGTCTCTGGCTGCCATTGCAGTTTGTAGTGGACTGGGGATGGTCTCCAGTTCTTCACGCTTCTGTTTTGGGTTTTACCACTATATACCTTGTTATGGTTATCTACATTTAGATGGGCAGAGTCCCTTTCCCCACCCACCACCCTCAGGCTGGCCACAAGCAGACAGTGCGCATGTCACATCCAAGTCTCTGGATAGTCCAGCCCTTCTCTTTGGTCTGCTACAGGACTGAGGTTTGGGTCACAACTTCAGCCTGGATCTTGAAAGGAATGGCAAGGGATGTGAAGGAAGGAACAAGTCCCTGAGACTGGGCTTTGTTACTTTGGCATAACCTGTAAAAGCTGTAAAACTGCAGGACAGTGCCGCTGTGTCCAGGCTTTAGGAGTTTAGCTGTAGAGCATTTAGTATGGAAGTCTTTCCTGTTGCTGGAGTTTCCTTGTCCAGCCACTTCAGCCCCAGATAAGCACACAAAGACTCATATTAATTTATAAATTGTTGGCCGAGGGCTAGGGCTTCTTATTGGCTATCTCTGTCATAATTATTAACCCATAACTACTAATCTATGTATTTTTACATGGCCG